GGTTCAAGCTCACCAGCTGCTCCTTGGAAACACTATACAGGGTCACTATGGGTTGCAATCAACTCGACGGCACTTGACAACAACAACAAGCCAGAGATTCAAGTCAGTTTCAGATGAGGGCTTGGAATGAGGGTTATCACTGCTGATGTCAAATGGATCTTGGCTAAAAGTAGAGAATACCAAAAAGATATTTAACTGTGCTTTGTTGACTATACAAAGGCTTTCAATTGTGTGGATCATGACAAGCTATGGACAACATTGTGGAGAATGAGCATTCTAGAATGCTTCTTGTGCTCACGAGGGACCTGTTCCTAGACAGAACAAGAGGCAGGCCTTCAAACAGAACAAGGGGACATTGAAAGGTTTAAAATTTAAAAAAGATGTGCACAGGGTTCTATTCTTTCAGCATACTTCCTCAATCTGCACGTCGAGCATATAATCTGAGAAGCTCGCCTATATGAAGAACGTGGCATCAGGATTGGAGGAAGACTCATTAACAACCTGTGATAAGTAGTTAATCTTGCTTGCAGAACACAAAGAGGACTTAAAATACTTATTAATGATGATCAAAGACAAAGCCTTTGGTATGTGTCGCACCTCAAAGTAAAGAAAACATAAATCCTCATCACTAGACCAATAAATAATGTAATGATAAATGGAGAAAAGACTGAAGTTGTTGAAGACTTCATTTTGCTTGGATCAACCATCAATACTCACAGAAACAGCAGTCAAGAAATCAAATGATGCATTGCTTTTGATAAATTTGCTGCACAAGACCTCTTAAAAGTGTTGAAGAGCAAAGGTGTCAGTTTGAGGACTAAGGTGCACCTGACCCAAGCCATGGCATTTTCAATAGCTTCATATGCATGCAAAAGTTGGACAGTGAATAAGGAAGATTGTACAAGAATTGATGTATTTGAGTTATGGTGTTGGAGGAGACTATTAAAAGGACCATGAACCGACAAAAGAACAAACAAATCTGTGTTAGAAGAAGTATAGCCAGAATGTTCCTTGAAAGTCAGGATGGTGAGAGTTTGTCTCTCAAACTTTGGATATATTATCAGGAGGGGCAAGTGCCTGGAGAAGGACATCATGCTAGGTAAAGTGGAGGGTCTGGCAAAAACAAGAAGACTCCCAGTGAGATGGATTGGCGCGGTGGCAGCAGCAATGAGTTCAAGCGTAGCAACAATTGTGAGGATGGCACAGGACCGGGCAGTATTTTGTTTTTGTGCATAGGGTCGCTATGAGTTTTAACTGACTTGACGGCACCTAACCGCAATAACAACTAGAAAAAGGAAAGAAAAACCAAACAGAGGAAAGAAGGAAAAGAAAATTTAAAGGCAGAAGATAAAAGGACTATACACAATTAGGGAGAGGAATGAGTAAAAAGGAAAAATACCAGAGAGTAGTCAAGAAAAACAGAGAGAGAGAGAGAAACAGTTATGGCTGGGAAAGAGACAGAAAAAAGATGAAAAAATTAAAGTACAGATAGAAAGAAAGGGAGTGGGAGAAAAAAAGAAAAAGAATGAAAGAAAAAAAATCACAACAGGACCAGAGAAGTAAAACTTCTGGAGTCCTCTGCCTGCCAAAGACCTCATGTTGTGGGTGTGCAAGGGATGACTTTCTCAAACCTATAGGCGTCCTTGTAGGGCTAGTGTTATCTGTCCTGGGCACCCAATCCAGAAGTCGTTCGTGCAGCCCCCAGAGCAGCTGGTCGGTGGGTCAGGGTGTTTCCACCCCTCGAGGTTAGCTGAGGATGAGCGATCCTGCTAGTTCAAAACTGACCAGAACCAGCTCTGCTCATCTGCAGCAGGCCACACCAGTAGGGTGGGAGCTTCCCTGGAGTTCTGCATGGGTGGGGGCAAGCCTCACATCCGTCACCAAGTGTGTGTGGAGAACATGGAAAAAATGGCATCTTTATCTCTGTGAGCAAAGACGTCAGTTTGAGGACTAAGGTATACTTGACCCAAGTCGGGGTATTTTCAATTGCCTCATATGCATGTGAAAGTTGGAGAATGGATAAAGATGACTGGAGAAGAACTGATGTGTTTGAATTATGGCTTTGGAGAAGGATATTGAAAGTACCATGGACTGCCAGTGGAACAAACAAATCTGTGTTAGAAGTATAGCCAGAAGGCTCCTTAAAAGCCAGGACAGCGAGAGTTCATCCGTCTCTCATACTTTGGATATGTTGTCAGGAAGAACCAGTCCTTTGAGAAGGATATTATGTCTGGTAAAGCAGAGGGTAGAAGAAAAAGAGGAAGACCCCCTAACAAGATGAAATGGCACAGTGGCGGCAGCGATGGTGTCAGGAATAGCAACTATTGTGAAGATGGTACAAGACTGGTCAGAGTTTTGTTCTATTATGTGCAGGGTCACTGCTAGTCAGAGTTGACTCAACAACAACAAAGTAACTGCATACAGTACAGCTGACTGCTCCGTTGCTTGTCTTGTCTTATCTCACAGTCTGCTTGTTCCGTTTGCAGCCTTGTGGCTGTGCCCTGTTCCTCTGTCTTGTTTCACAGTCTGCTTGTTCCGTTTGCAGCTTTGTGGCTGTACCTTATTCTTCTGTCTTGCCCCTCCGTCCCC